CTGCGAGACCCGTCAAAAGCCCTCACTATCATAGTGCTTGGCTTAATGTATGATTCATCATATCAAAGTTTTGTCAATGTTATCTTTGGCATCACATTTAATGAAGAACCATTGTCAACTAAAAATCTCGCCAGGATATGGTCCATGTATTTTATTGATATGTGCAAGGCGTTATTGTGCCCAACTTCTTCCACTAGCATCTCATCATCAATATGTTAAGTCATACGAAGCAATTCCCAACAAGGTTTTGAACATGATAAATATAATACATATTGTTATTTCTAACATGTGTGTTAGTGTTTCAGATAAATATAAGAATAGGCAAAACTAAAAAATGAAGTACGTGTTATTACACATACTAAGGTCAAATCAAACGAAGCCTGGTTGAGCTATACAAAACATCAGACGATGGTTGATCAAGCATCAAGACTAAGTCTGATCAAAAGCCAGACGAAAATACAACAAATACAAGACAAGGCGTACTACCAGTCGAAGTCTTGAAGTATCAGACAAAAGGCCAAAACAAGTATCAAACAAGGCTAAATCAAGAACAAGACAAAAGTTGGTTAAGCACCGGATGAAGTCCGTACAGACATCAGATGAAGCTTAATGATCAACTAGATGAAGGTCAACAAAGTATCAGACGATGGATAACACAAGACGAAGAAACGTTCCAGACGAAATTAAAGTCTTCCATCTTCACAACTGACCAGACGGAAGGAAAAGTCAAAGTCTACTTCTCAAATGGAGACTCAAATTTGAGATGCATTACCAAACGCAAACGAAGAATACTGAAAAGCTTATGAAGTCCACTATTCACAACAAAAGATATCAAATATCGTCTACACTCATAGAAGAGCACACAAAGTCATCAAATTTGTGAGAAGAAAGAAGAAAGATAGACAAGCGCGCATCCACAAGTCAAAGCATGCGTGTGTCAGAGAAAGTACACCTACTTTTCAGAAAAAGACAACGCCTTTGCAGCTGCGATGACAAAAAGAGAACAAAAATACCTAGATTATGATTGAAGTCAGAAATAGAAGTGAACGAACTACACAAAAGACTTCATGTAACATAGATTCAGTAAGCAAACATTTAATGCAAGATCAAATGCATTAAATGGAAGATCTATATGGCCATAAACGAACTACTATCTACGCCAACGGGAAGCTCCGCTCCAACGTACTCTTTCAAATTTAAACAACGGGCAGATTTATCACGAGGCTATAAATATCAAGAACTAACAAGAGAAAGAGAGAAGAGAAGAAACAAGTAATAAGCAAAGGTGAACGTAAAAGCGAACTTACAGCTCTTCCTGTACAGTCTTGTATATTTGTGTAAATCTAAAATAGCTTATCTTAGCGAGTGTTGAGACTATCTTATCCTCTCTGTGAGAGTAATACACACACTCAAAACACATATCTCTGTAAAACTAAGGTTGCATACCTTAGCGAATGTAGAAACCATCCTATCCTCTCTGTGCGAGTTATACACACATTCAAAATATCTATCTTTTGTCAAGCCTGAAGAGGCTAGTTGAAAGAATACTTGAGAAACCAAAAGTGGTTTAAGAATACTAGCGCTGATGAGAAGTTGGCGAACCAGGAATGATTGATAATACTTGGGGAACCAGAAGTAGTTTAAGAATACTAGCGCTAACGAGTGAAGTTGGCGAACCAGAAGTGGTTGATAATACATGTAATCCGTTGTGATTAGTGGAACCCTTCAGTTGAAAGAGACTGGACGTAGCTCAGGTCGAGCGAACCAATATAAAACTCTTTGCACTTTTTATCTATTTCTCAGACGCAATTTTGTTTAGCTAATATATCACGTTGAAAATTTCGTCCGCTGCTTATATGTCACTAAAACTATCTTCATACGGAAAATACACTTGCTTAATTTATTATTTTAATAAACATTTTTCCTTATGCATACGATAAACTTTCAAACGCAAAATTTTTTGTTGAGCCAACTTTGTACAGTTTTTAAGTGTTCAAAATAATTTTATTAGACGAAAAAAGAGTCTCTTTGCAAAAATAGTTTTAAAATTCCTTCGTTCACACACACATTCAACCCCCCTTCTGTGTGTTTTTCCGCTAACTTCACAATAAAAGTAAGGTAATTATTGATAGTGATATTTTCAACAATACCTTCAAATTTCTCCTAAAAAATGTCATGGACGACATGTGCTTCATTTAATATCTTCAACAAAATTTGTCTATGAGATTTTGAGTTCATCATAAATGAAAAAAGTGATATTCTAGCAGGGATCTAGTTCAATTGATCAATCATTGTGTACTCACTTTATTGTATGAGTTTTAGGAATTCATAGTCCTCTTCATAGGAGATTTCCTTCTTCTTCTCTTCTTGACCTTCCCATCAATGATTTTTTGTTCAACCACCTCTTTGCCTTTCTCGTGGCTTTTCCCTACTTCTTTAGCTTGCTTGACTCTTAAATCATTTGAAGTGTAAATTCGACCACTTTGAGTCATACCACAAATTCCAACAACATTTGTGAAATCAGTGGTTTCTAAACAAGTCACTTTTACCAATTTTTTGTCAAAGGTGTCAATGCAAACTTCTATATCATATCTCCATGGAACTGTTTTATTATCCTTATAGCGTAAAACCTTTGGCACCTATATTGTGATAGGCTTTGGTTTGTTGATATTCAAAACATTTTTACCCTTAGTATAGCAATCAACCAAGGATTATAGGCATCTTATAAGGTTGAATCAATACCTAATACATGGCTTCCAAAATAGCCAACCTATACAATTTTTCATCCATCAAATCTTGTCAGATCCGCTTAAAGTCATCATATTCTTCAATCTCATGACCTTTACCAGAATGTAATCCACACCCCTCATCCCTAAAGCTTCCTTCCACCATCCCAAACTTACACATTCCTTCAAAAATGGAATTTAGGGGAGTTTTCACATCCTTCACCCTCTTTATCATGGGTTAGCCCTCTATGACTTGGTAGAGGATTACTCCCAATATTAGGATTATTCTCTTTGAAGTTCAACAACCCTGCTGTAACCAAACTTTTCACCTTGAACTTCAAAGCTCTATAATTCTCAAGGGAATGACCAACAACACCCACATGATAATCACTTTTGGAATTTGCATCATATCCCTTGGGATATGGTAGTTCTATGGGTTTCATTAGGAAGGGTACTACCAAAGAGTTTTGTAGTAAGAGAGGGAACAACTCAGTATACGATATATGGATAGGGTACTAGATAATCGATTAAATGGATCAATGGGAGAATGTTGGTTACTTCCTTAAAGATAAGAGCAGATGTGTCTTTCTTTTGAGGAAAATATTTTCAATTTGAAATCACTCCTATTTTCATGTGGAAGTTACTTTTAATGTTGTCCATTATCAATCTAGGTTCAACTCATTATCTTTGCAACAACTATTTGGTTATACCCACTATCTCATATGCGAAAATTCTTTTGTTGAGTTTTGTGATAGCCAAAACTCTATATAAGGAGTATGTTGCTCTTCCTTTGAGTCACCAAATCTTCTCTTATTTATAGTATACAACACCATTGTGTATTAAGAGTAAGGGCTTGGAATTGTTCAAGAGAAATTTTGACACAAGATAGAGCTGTTCATAGTAGATAACAATGGATGGAGGTTGATTTTCATGATTCTTATTTTCCACTTCTGCTTGATCTGAATATGTTGTTTTTTGTGTTTAACATGTTTGGATTGATAAATTTTTTTAAATGGTCTTTTAATTGATGTTGGGCTATGATAATGGTTTTTGCTCAGTTGTTTTATCTTTTTGGGATTTTCTTTGTGGGAGGTGCAAACAATTTCAAATCTGTGCAAGAAGGTGGTGTGATAGAGGGAGGGAAGGTGACATAATGAGGGGAAGAAGAAAGGTGATTGATGGGGAGAAGAGAGGAACTGGTCAAAAAAAGAGGTACTCAATTGCAAGGGTGGCAAGAAGGTGGCAATTGCAAGGGTGGCAAGAAGGTGGCAATTGCTATGAATTCTTTTATATTTCTACATCAGTTAAAATTGATCGATATATCTACATCATTATTTTTTACATATCAGGGATCTACATCAATTATACAATCGATATAATAGATCTTGTTTACACTAGTTGTTACAATGACATGTTTTTATGAGCCTTTTTTACTGCCTTGAAGAATGACAAATACTTTATCACAATAATTTAGAATATTCTAGAATCATGTAATATAAAATTATTATGATATAATTTGCATGTTATTGGTAAATTTTATAAGTTGATCTAAAAAGTTGTATCATTATTTTAATAAGGAATAAAATTATTTTAGTCATTTAATGTATAAAACAATGTTTCTCTCTCTTTTTATTGTCAATTTAGAAGAAATATTAAATTTGTGAGATCCATATATTTCTTAATCTTTCCAACCATTTATTAAGTAATTAAAGAGAGAGAAAAAAAAAACAACATTCTCTTATCTTTCTTAACTCTTCCTTCTTGCATAACAAATATAAGATTAAAAGCAAGATAACGCACCTTTATGTTTTCAAAGACCAAATTATATATCAATAATAACTTGTATATAGCTAAATTCTAATTCAACCTACTAGTTTTTCAAATATTGAATTATGTGAGCGAAGTGATGTATATGTATGAATTCCTCTAATTTATATAATTTCTTTAATAATTTTCATTATTTATTTATTTATTGTATACAATAGGAATAGAAATATTTAAACTTGAGGAACTCATTCATGTTACTTAAATAGCACTTCTGGTCGACCCTAAAGGGGGTATTTTATCTATCTACCTATGTGTTTTTCTCAATTCTCTCGCAACATTTTCCTTACTGAGTTGAAAAGTAGTCGTGCAGATGTTAATTCTACTAATTGATATATTAAGCTAAAAATTTGCTTCAAATATCATATACGCAATTTTATTGCATTTTTCTGTTTTTTCACACAACATTTTTATGAGATGTACTCGCACCCCCTAAACAAAAATCAAACGTGCAAGAAAATACGACACATTTATTCATCTTGTAGCACAAATTTCTCAAGTAAGAAGTTATTGGCCTCTAAAACAAACATAAACCGAAACCAGACCACTGGTCCGGTTAACAAAGCCTGCTAAAGAAGAAGAAACTCACACGTTTACAATTACATGCATGCATGCTAAATCCAAACTAAAACCACACAAATAAAATTTAACAAAAATGACACAAGTCTTGACCATATATAACACCATTTAGTCCAACTTAACCGGAGCCTCCAAGAACACCCTTAAGCTTCTTGACCACAGCAGCATCAATGAAAGTTGTTTCCGTGATGAGTTCAGTGGGGAAGTCACTTTTGAACAAAGCAAAGTCGAGAATCTGCAAGCCAGGGTTGGCACTGCTGAAGCTCACAAAGGCCAAGGCAGGAGAGCCACCAGCGTTGATTTGGAAGTGCAACAAGCCTTGAGGGTACACCATGATGTCACCCTTTTCAAGAGTTTTGAGGTACACAGTGTTGTCCGAAGCAACAAAGCCTGTGCAGATTCTACCTGTCACAACCACCAACAATTCCGTGGCTCCAGGGTGTGTGTGAAGTGGGATAACGCCACCAGGTGCCAAGTCCAAACGTGCAATGGAAATTCCAAGGCCATTGACACCAGGGAATTGAGCATCAAATGCTGGAGTCACTGCAGCTTTTATGATGTTTGAGGTGTTGCCAGCAGTTCCAAGGCCTGAGTAGACAAAGTCATTCACTGTCACCTTTGAAGGCTTCTTGCATGAGTACCCTGCAGGGCCATTGGGAGCAGTGTAGTCTGCCACACAGAAATCTAGCACTGAGGCATTGGAGAATGAAAAGAGAGATAAGGTGAAGAAGATGGTTAGAAGCAACTTCATTGTTGATAGGTTATAGCTAGGTATGTATGTGTAAGAGTGTGTGTGTTGAATTTATCAGTTCTGTTATATAAGTGAGTGGGAGGGTCAAGTCTCAAGACTCATTATTGTGGATATTTTCATACCATTGATTCACCAATGCCATTGAGATGCTTCAAAATGGTTAAACATGTATGCATACATTTTTCTTACCTGTGCTGTTCCTGGAAACGACAGATTTTGTGACAACTTCGGTGCACGTGAACGCCTACTTTTTCTCTCTCGAATAACAACAAGAAGCGTCTTTTGGTTTGAACTAATTGAGAAAAATAGGTACATCATCTTCTGCATTTTCTCTAAGTGTTATCATGACATTGAAATGTCAAGTCGTAGTTAACTTTAATTTATAATGGATTAATAGTGTTATAAAGTTATTCACAGTCACGTGTAAAACTGATTAATGTTTCCTCACAAATTGTTGATAGTAAGTAAACCATATACAATTATTAAGAGGTAATCAATTGTGACATCAGATTATTAAAATATCTAATAATAATTAATTTTATCTTACAAGTAATTAACATAATTGATCCAACGATAAGTGAAACTGAAAGAAAATATTGAGATTTTTTTAAAATAAAAAAGATATATATTAGGTATTTTTTTAAACATATGAAATATATTTGTTAACATATATGTCTTTTTATTTTATAAAATCGAATAACAAATATAATTTTTGGTAGGTTTAAAGTCTAAGTTTTTGGGGTCTTACTTTGGAACTGTTTTAGTGATTACTAATAGACCCGTTTGTTTAAAAAAGAAAATCATAAGAAATATTTTTGTTTAATAAAATAAGTAGTTTTTTTAATGTGTATTTGTAAACTTGTTTTAAAAAAAAAAAAAACATTTTTCTCCTCTCTTTTTCTTTTTTTTAAGAAAATCACTATCTATTTTTTAAAAGAAATATTTTTTAAAAATATTATTTTTATTTTTAATTTTAAATAAACTAGCCCAATGTCATAAGATTATTAGAATGTCTAATAATTGTTAACTTTAATTAACCACATCAATAAATGGTCTCAAAAATCACATCAATGATTATATATAATTATATTCATTAATGAAATGTAACCCATTTATATATGTAATGGATGTTGGGTAGAGAAACCCTTTAGTTTTATTATTAAATTCAAGTTTACCTTCTCTTTTTACGTTCGATTCTAAATTTACGAAAAAATAACTATTTTCTACTTCAATCTAAACGTGAAAAATCACATTTTCATGATACAAACACGTTATAAGTAGTATAATAAAGGACTTCTGTGAACAATTATCATACAGTACGTTATTATTTATTAACACCTATTATTTTTAAAAGTTTTCAAAAAAAAATATACTTGAACAGTAGATTGCATACAATAATTGATTGAGAGAGAAATTTGAGATAAAGATAAAAGTAGATTGTATAACAATTTGATTAATTGAGAAATTTGAGATATAATAAATAGTGTAAAAATAAAAAAATAATAATAATAATTTCTCTATCACATCATATTTTTTATCATCCCCAATTTCTTTCATAAAGCTTGAATAGAGTTTGATGTTGAACTATCAAACTTTTCCGTATAGGAAAGCTTTCTTCTTTTTAGGCTCTCTTGGTGTACTTGTTGATGATATTTTTTTCCACCATGGATAAGCAATCTAATTTTTGGTAAATATTTTAGCAGTCAATATTTCATTTTTATTGTGACCAAGTAAAAGACAATAATTTTTTTATAAGCTTTGAGCACTTAGCAACAGAAGTTTGTGTGTATATTCCAGTAAAATTCTTTGTGTGGGGGAAAAAGGGTGAAGATAAGGATGGTGGTCCATGCAGAAGCACATGGCATGGGAAAGAAATGACAGCATAAGAAGACGTTTTGACAGCTAGAAGGACCCCTCTGAATGTCAAAGCATGGCTTCATGGGAACATATATTTGTGGTCATCTTAAATTCCCCATCTTATACGGAACCATGTTTTTACTCAACTAAGTGAGACCATAAAATAGGTCTTAAATGTTAATACACATGAATGAGGATCATTCTGTATTATGCCCTTATAACATACAAATTCTGTTGGATGTTCACACTGCAGCTAAGGATAAGATTACCATCGACCAATCAGTATTGGCCAATCATTCATTTCACAGCCAATGAGGGTGTCACTATTATTGCAATAACGTTGTTCATTATGTTGTTTGTGTCTACGAGATGTTACCAAGAGTCATTTCAGTTAACTTAACCGTTGCATAGCTCTTGGATTCCTAGATATTTTTGAAGATGAAATGGACGTCACTACGAAAAGGCACAGATTGTGATTCAGACATATGTGTACAAATTACAGTTGCCATATGCACGTACCCTAACCATGTCTATTTGTTAATATGGCTAACAGCAACCACACATGAATGTTACGTGACATTAAAAACTAATTCCACTTTATTTTAGAGAAACAAAAATCAAAATTACACTTTTAAACAATGTAGAGACTAAAACTAAGTTTAATCAAACTTATAGGGATCAAAACTACAATTTTGCTAGGATTAAGACTAATTTTAAACAAATTTTCGGGAACCCAAAACAAGATTTACTCTAATAATAATGTTTACTTGAGAAACTTGTCGAAAATTTTAATATTGAGTAATTTCCATGTGAATCTTATTAAACAAGGAGTGAGATTTAAAGGGGGTATGCATATTTGAAATTTTAGATAGTAATAAATAATGTGTTATTAATATTTTCTAAATTGATAATAATAAAAATAAGAGTGTGTTATTGATGTTTTTTATTTAACAGATGTTAACACGTGTTTTTTTAGCGAGTTTGCATATATTTAACAGATGTTTTTTATTTGTGTATATTTAATAAACAAAGAATTTTGACAAAATTGTTTCCCATAAAATAATTTTTAATATAATTTAAAAATTTATAAAAATATAAAAGAAAAAAAAGTAGCGTATGAACACTAGCTCAAAAGATAAACATGACTTCAAGATTAACATTAATTATTGGGAAAATGATGTAATAAAGGAAACAATGACATTTTTTTAGCAATTTAAGCAACTTATACTACATTGGTTCCCAAATAAGTAATGTAGTATATATCTTTTTACATTGATTGTTAGTTTAACTAATGTAGAAATGATTATTCTACATTGATTAGAAACATAATTGTTCCTGTGTTAGGACACACACTTCAATTATCCTAGTTGAAACGGGTCGGGTCTCTGACGTCTTCTTCTTGTTCGGGTCCGAGTAGTCCGAGATCAAACGGGGGGTGCCTACAAAGACACTCCGACGCTCAAGTCAGTGTTCGGCGTAATAAATGCGGTAGTTCAGAATTAAATACATACCTCGTTGGGGTCCTATTTATAGTAGTTCTTATTGGGCCGTGATTAGGGACTGTGCCCCGGAAAATTAGGGGTCTAATCCTATGCATTATGTTAATTAATCTCTCCGTAACCATCTTGACAAGGGCGATGAACTCGGCCGACGCTGCCGACATGTTTCGCCCCCATCTGGGAGTGGTCGGCGGGTTCAGGGTACTCGGCACAAGTAACGGTCTCGGGTATTCGGGCGAGTCGGCCACCATACGGTATACAACCCCGCAGCGTCAAGGATGTGAAAAGACGAAGACGGTACAAAAAACATGGCGACGTGGTATTCGGTGCTGAAGAATAAGGGTCGATATAGGTGTATCTCGAGGCCTCGTCTGGATGATGCTTGGGCCGACCTTAACCATGAGCTCAAGCCGAGGCATTTTGCAGGCGATGTCCAGGCCGAGATCTTAACCATGTGAGGTCAAGCCGAGGCCGAGATCTTAACCATGTGAGGTCGAGCTGAGGCCTTTTGCGGGCGGTCTTGGCCGAGACCTTAACCATGTGAGGTCAAGCCGAGGCCTTTTGCGGGCGGTCTTGGTCGAGACCTTAACCATGTGAGGTCAAGCCGAGGGCTTGGACGTGAGAACCTGCATCAGGGCTTCGAATAGTGGTGACTTACACCGAGGCCTCGGCAGGTGTGGCCTGCCACGTTGGCCCTAGCGGTTACAGGCCCAACGGTTATTAAACCTGGGCCGTTGGATGATGTTGATCGAACGGTCGTGGCCCAGGGGCGTCTTTTCACCTCCCCCTATTTACCTTGCCTATAAATAGAAGTGTTGGACGTGAAAATTTACGCGCTGTAAATTTTCTGAACTCTCTCGAGATCATATTCTTTCGAACAACCCGAGCAACGTAAATTTTTGTATTCTTTAATTTTAGCAATAAATGGACAAAGGCTACGTTTCGGCGAGGAGTTGGACGTCTTCGGAAGCGTCGGGCGCTTCATCAGATAAAGAGGGGTCGACTTCAAGTGAAATATCAAGATTGCCACCGCTGCAGTGCGAAGTTGTCTTCCCTTCCGATCATCCCGAACCAGAGGACAGCGGGGATGAGGTGGTCGAGGGGTCGCCTCCGACAACATTGGCTGGGGCCTTGGCACGGGCAACCGAGGTGGATGACCGAGGTCTAGGTCGAGTCGGTCAGCCGGACCCACAAGCGTTGCAAGTTGATGTAAGCGGGGACAAACTGGAGGTGGTCGGCGATGCACGAGGCAAGAGAGTTGTCGGACCGAGTACTCGGGTAAGGGAACAGATTGACTATGGAACTGTGGAGGTGCCTGGTTATGAGTGGGTTGACGGGGAGGTCGGCATTTATTTTTCGAAGTTGTTTGGCCAGGGGTTGTTAGACACATTTGTCTCCTTGGAGAACTGTTTCGGGAGTGGGGAGGACCAGTTTCCTCTACTTGCCGAGGCATGCATGGACGATGGGCCGGAGACTGACTTCGTGTTTTTGGAGTCGGGGGACGGTGAGGACGATGACTTCTGCGCCTACATGTGCTGGTTCGTAGACCTCGGTGTTCAACTCCCCTTTGACGATTTTCAAATGGGGGTACTTCGAGTGCTCACCGTGGCGCCGCCTCAGTTGCATCCGAATGCATGGGCCGCGATGCAGGCGTTTCGGAATCTATGCTTGTGTTTGGGTCTAACTCCCTGACCCTTGGCTTTCCTTTATTACTATACCAGTCGTCCGAGCAAACCGGTCAAATGGGTGTCCTTGTCTAGGGT